ATCGATCACCGAGGCAGGGACCAGATGCAACAGCGAATTGACGTGCTTCTCTACCGCAGGAAGATGGCTTAGTCTAATGGAATACAAGAAGTGCCGATGATATCCTCGCAGGCGCGAAGAACGACCTGCCCATAAGCCTGACGAAATAACGGTGATCGGTCCCGGTTCACTATGAGCAGGAATACTACCGAGAACATGGCGAACATGAGGCATAGCTGCCCATAGTTTAAAATTTAGATCTCGCCGAGAAGATACTGGATTAGCCCTGCAAGTGATATGTACGTCAGAGAACGTCCACCGTGATGGGAAATTCGAAACGAATTGTGCGAGAAGTGTATATCTTGAGAGTGACATGATAAAAACCCACGCATAGGACACATGCTTGAAGCCTGCTGACCTTGGTACTTCCGTCTCCTTCTTCTAAATGTCACCGTTGGGCGCTGAAATCCCTGAGAATTTGGATCGCACTTTGATGAATATTCAGGCTCCTGGACACGTTTCCCGAAGCCAGTCCGAGGTGTGGTTTCGAGAAGGGCAGTGCGAGGACTGTGAGGGTACACAGTTTGTCAGATAGGTTACGCTGAAAGATGCTTCAAAAAGGAACTAAAACCCCGAGAGTGCGTTGAGGAATGAGCAAGCCAGTGGCTGTTGTCACTTGTGGCCACACGGTTCGTATGAAGACTGAAGTGATCGGGCCCGTGTCTGACAAAATCTTTGACAGGGTTACATAATCAATCCCTAACGCCTCTCTCACTGCCATCTCGCCCACGACGCCTGCTTTACCGTTGTAATAACTATTTTCTGCTGTATATTATGGACGCCCGCCTTCGACGAGTAAACAAGGAGATTGCTGGTACGCCAAATTCTATCTTGCCTTTATGTGCATGGTTCGATGAACGGATGAATAGACTGCAAGAATGACAAGACATCGAATATCAAGATCGACCTTATCGACGAATCGCCCTTTCATCTGAAAGGGTCCTTCCCTGGTCCTGAAGGGACACCATATCAGGGTGGCCACTTTGAAGTGGTGAGTGGCAATGCTCGATCTCGAAGAATTCGTAATTTGAACTCTGCTTAGGATATCGTCATTCCGGATTCGTATCCGTTTCAACCTGTGAAGATGAAATTCATGACAAAAGTCTACCATCCAAACATCTCGTCTGCATCAGGCGCCATCTGCCTTGACATTCTGAAAGATGCTTGGTCGCCGGTGCTGACGCTCAAGTCGACCCTGATTTCGCTTCAGAGCCTCCTGTGTTCGCCAGAGCCGAATGACCCTCAAGACGCTGAGGTCGCGAAGCACTACACGACGAGCAAGAACAGCTTTGACGATACTGCGATCTACTGGACTCAGATCTATGCCGGGGGTCCAGGTCCGAAGGAGAAGAAGGGTAAAAGCTCAGCAGTCAAGGAGACACGAGACGAGATAGCTATTGCTGGATTAGAGAGGGCACATGTTGAGCAGTTTGAAGCTCTGGGTTTCGAGAGAAGTAAAGTGGTGCGTTCGATTCCTCAGGTCCCCGTTCGACCCTTATCCAACAACTCCTTTTCAGATCGATGTGCTTCGGAGATTGAACTATCGTGGCGCCAATGTAGCAAAACTTTCGGAAGATAGGGTCGTTGAAGAACTCTTAAAATAAGAGTTAACTCTTCCGTCCACGCGTTCCAAAAGTTTCATACCTCATGACAGCTATGATTGTGTTTTGTATTGCAACTCCACTTTGGCCTTTCTTTATCTCAATGCATTGCACTCCTAATGTTGCGCAGACCCTATTCTGGAAGTGCCTCGGGCGCTATGATATCCACTGATTCCGGTGGGCATCGTCGTTCACCATCTATGGCTTTGCCTCGACCAAGAAGCCACCAAATGTTTGTCTTCATTGTCATGGGTAAGTACAATTTGAAAACACGTCGTGTGACTGGTTCATCCTGCTACTTTGCCCTTCTTTCCCCGCTCACCTTCCATCTAGAAGAAGTTTCTTTCACCCTCAGACAAGAAACAGGATCGTCTCGGGCCCACCTATCAACGGCCTCGGTTTCTATCTATCTTTACGCCCTAGACGGTTCGTGTGCATCCATTCCTTCCCTTCGTATAACGGAACGTAGATTCGGACATTTGAGAAAGCTTCGCATTCTCTGGTATGTTCACGTGAACGAGCCATTTGCGCGCCACAGCAGTAACTTCGATCGATAAGTCGCACCGGGGTTTTCGCAGAACCAGAGCATGCAGTTTATCCTGACTCCGAAATCTGACTTCTCCATCGTACCAACCCGTTTTACCCGGGCCGCGCTTCGAACGTGACATCTGTGGTCACGACTAGCATACAAATCATCGATAGCTCTGAAAAGGGTGAAAGAATTTATACTGGAGCTACACGGAGACCAGAAGATGTATTGTTACGCTGTCTACAGACCATGGATATCGCGGCCCTCAGACGAAGTTACTTCCCATTTGAGAGAAAGATGAACCGTTGCTTGTGGGGCTAAAGCACACAACCAGCTGATCTTTCCATCCTTCCCCAGTGCCTCGGGGTCTGCCATCTGATTGTCGGGTCCTTCCCACCGAGCAACAACGCCTTCGGCCACGTTCACCTCCTTGGAAGCCGTCTTTGAACTCTGTTTTGCAACACTCGAGAGGCTCTGCGCAGACGAGGCGGGCAATGCGGGACTCAGCAGCTTCACCGTCACGCCTTTGTCTCCGGAAATGGGAATTTGGTCTATGACCTTGATGTCCACTGGCACTGATTTGCTGTTGAACAAAGTGATGCGCTGCTCGCAGGTGAGGAAGTCCGACCGCCTGTATGAGTAAATAGAACCGCTGTAAGCAGCCTTTTTGGAGCGCGGGTGATAGGTTATTCTGAGTGAGGGATCCATTCTAAGTGAATAATTGGGTTAACATTCGCTCTGAGCGCCGTAGGATCTCCTTACCCAAGAGCAAGGTCGAATATCTCCTGCGGGCTTGCCGCTGGCATACTCGAACTTGCGGTGAAGCTTCCATTAACGAATATATTAGCGTTCCCCTCCAAAAAGGTGTATTTGGAGGTGTTTGTGATTCTCGCCTAACGGAACCAAGCATCAGTGTTCCACGTCTCGAATTCTGAAAAGTGTGAATAGGGACAGACCTTGAGGTGCGCTTTGCTCCTTGCTTTAGGAACTGTCACCCAGGACATCGATGCGTCCATGCTTATTTGTGAAACAGTAACGTTGTGGGTCGCCTTGTCTGATGGTATCGTGATCAAGCCGGCCACCTCAAACATGGCAGAAATGACGCCCTTCGTGGTAACCGAGGTCGACTGATGCGCCAAGGGCTCTAACTCTGCTTCTGTCCCGTGCATTTCCCCTGGAGACTGTGCTGCACCAGGTACCGAAGGCGCAGCGCGGCGGGATGGAGGGGGAGGGATGCTAGAGCTCCGAATTCCACTGTACATGGTATAGAATGAATAATATCTCTGCACAGATATGGTCCACGGCCGCAAGTCTGGGATATCCGCCCCAAACGTGGGGTTGACGGTTTCGAGAGTCAAAGGAACCCTATCCCAAGCCTGAAAAGGTATGAATAGATGCGATTTCGGCGATAAAAATTATACCTCTCCGGTGTTCTGTGTAATGGACGCTTTATACGTCACTGCTATAGTCTTGTCGTCTGAGTCCAGGTTGGCACGGACGTCGTAGTTAGCTGTCCAGGAACAATTGTCGACGGCTATGAAGTAACATCAATGAGTCAAGATTCCACAGGGACAGCATTGCATTCTTACCGTAGTTGAGCAGAATTTCAATCTGACCGTCGGATAACGTTTCCAGATCTATCCCCACATGCGTTCGCAGTACGTCTTCTTTGTCGAGCCCATGCTTTGACTCTTCTTGCTCGATTTCCTCATTCACGAGAGCCAGTTGTTCCTCGAGATCCAGAATCTTCTCGTCCAAATGTGATACCGCGGTCTCGTATCCCTCCGTAAATGTCGAAACCTTGTGCACCTCTATGTCGTGTGTACTCATCGTCCCCAGGTACATCTTCAAGGACGAGATAGAATCTTGGCAGCGGGTTATAGCCTTCTCTGTTCGCGCTCTTTTACGCAAAAGGTTCTTCAGAGACGTCGATCTCGATCCAGCAGAATGAGAAGGCGGCAGCACAGAGATGACAACATCGTTAATCGTCGCAGAACCCTTTCCCGTCACCCTACAGTACAGCAGAAAGATCATTCGATTTGGTCATCGATAAACTAATGAATGAATGGCACCTGACAGAATCTTTATCCACCGCGACTGGCAGCCCAGAAATATTCACTCGATTCGGTCCCGCCTTGACAGTAACGACGAAGAGGCGAATAATCTCGGCGCGACTGGGATAGAGGTTGACTTTTGTGATTTTGCTATCCTTAATCGATGTGAGGTCCACTATGTTGGCCAAGGCCTCCGCCGCAGCACCGAGGTTCGTGAGATGCATGTGACAGATACTGGGGTTGGAACTTGGAAGTCGGGGCAAATTCGGAGGTTGGAGTTCAAAAGACAGGGCGCAGAAGCCTCTTATAACAGCTGCTTAGAATTGTCGTGACAGTTCGCCTAAGTATGAGCTGGCTGTGTCGACATGGCCGCCTGGGCTGCGGGCGCAGAACAAGCCTCCAACTTTCATCACCCTGTCAATCGGTTGGCAGCTGCCACGGCTTACGCTTGAGGGCGTTGACTTGCATCCACCCCAGTTCCTCTTGTGGAACGTGAACGTACTTGACTTGGAAGAGAGATGCCTGGAAATTCCAGATGAGCCTTACCATGACACGCCGCTCACTGGAGAGCTGGCTTCCGACTTCCGACATTCCTCCGTATCGATGTCATACCCCGCCGCTTACCGCCTTTGTCGACTTACTGTACTCGACGGTTCTACCCCTGACCTATAACACACGAAAAGGAAGCCCAAGGCTTCATATGAAATTACGACTTCCTAAGGCAAGGTGCTTTACGGTGTATCGGAGTCGAAAAAAATCCAGTGGACTGGCGACAATTGCATTAAGAGAGAATCGAACTCCCGGTGGGTCGACTTGATCCTCATGGCAACGACCCAGGTTACCACTACCCCATTAATGCCTCATGAAGTGGTTTATGGTCATCGCCGGTGTCGCTCAGTCCACTGGTAACTGCAGAGCCTATCAGGAACCGGCAGGCGATCCTTGCCCCGCAATACATACCTCTACATACCTGCTGTATCTTATGGCACTCCCAGGGCAGCGCCTCGTGTCAGCCGGCACGAGGGAGTGGTATGAACTCGCTCTGAATGTCTATGGGGCGTGATTTCAGACTTGCGAATGGCAAGCCGCAATGAACGGATGCGTCCTTTATCTTCTCCTAGGGCCGCAGGGTCAGAAGCAGAACTGCGGTAGGACTATTACAGAACTGCGGTAGGACTATTAAGGATGTCAAATACCTTCAGATACCCGCCCAATCCACTGGGAGAGAGCTAACCAGCAGATGAACAGTAAACACCTTTATATAACTTGAGGTCAACACGGTCACGGTATGGGAAGGACTAGAGGCTTTGGAGCTGGAGGGCCTCGGCGATCCATCATGCGCAATGTTGGTGCTTGAATCATAGTAACATAAACATCATCAAACATTCGCGTCGCGTCGAAGGGACCACGTGTCAGATGGCTGTTTCGTATCAACCGTCACTCTGTCAGACGGTAGACCCAGATGTCAACTCTGGACTTTACTCTGTCGACAGCCGTCAAAGCTACTGATACGACTTTGAAGAACTTCTCCCTCACACAGGCTTGACAATTGAAAGGCAGTCCTCTGTACATAGCTTCGACCGAACCTGACTCACAAACGTCACAAGCACAGCCCGGGGTCAACATAAAACTCCATGATTCCATCAATCCACTTGTCCATTCCTCTCTTGGCCTCAGCCCTCACAGCGCTCAAGTACACAAAGTCAGCAATTCCAATTCAACATGACCATTACTACTCCCGCTCAAGACCCCCCACCACCTTTCGAGCCGCCACATGTGATTGACCTTGTCTCGGTTGACGACAGCAAGATAATCCACGTCAGCTTGTACTCTGGCCGCGCAGAACTAACGCGCCTGTACAAATTTCCTGTCAAGATAGGCCAGAACCAGGTCAACATTGACGGACTCCCCAACGTGTTAGACCGCGATTCCATTCGGTGAAGTTCGACTCATATATGTTGACGGAGCACAAGAATGCTTACGCAGTGGATGATGAAGGTAGAGTGGAAGGACGCGGTGCTGCCACGATCCACGATGTGACGCTGTCCGACATGCCCCAGCCACCATTACCCTCGACGTCCGAGCACCTTGAAGAGCTAACTTCCGAGAAGGAGCTAGCCAAGAAGGCGCTTGTGCGCGCTATGAAGGGCATGACCTCCCTCGAGGCGTACCTCTCCACATTAAATGTTCAACACACCGACGTAGCTACCCTCGACAAGGTTATCGAGCACTATGACGCGAGTGGCAGCAGACTGGACAAGAAAATCCTCGACCTGGAAAAGAAGATTACGAAACTCCGTGACGAGATTAAAGAAGAACAGGACAGAATTGCGGGTGCTCCACGGAACCAGAAACTTGGTGTCCGGGCGGCAATTGGTGTGTTCGCTGCGTCAGAGGGCGAGGTTGCTATTGCACTCATCTACGGTACGCGTCCATGTTCCATGATCCGTGGAAGACCTATATGAACTCCCTAAGTAGCTGTCAAGGCGGCGACTTGGAGTGCTGGATACGATATTCGCGTCGACATGCAAACGAAGGAGAAGCCTGTGACGTTGATTTACAAGGCAGGAATCACCCAGGATACGGGGGAGGTTCGTCCACCTCGTGGTTGTTTGCTGAATATGGCTGACGAGGATACCTAGTCATGGGACGATGTACCTCTGACACTGGAGACAGCTTCGCCGACATTCGGGGTAGACATTCCGACCCTTTCTCCCTGGAATCTATCAGTCTATCGACCCCCCGCGTACAAGATGAAATCAGCTTCTTTTTCAGGTGGTCGGGGTCGGGATAGGGAGCGACGCGTCCTTGAGTATGCGGGCATGGGTGTGGAGAGCGAGGACAATGAGGAGGAGGTGGGTGGAGTCATGGAGCACAGAGGTTTGACCGTCACGTCTAAAGGTGGGATTAGCGCAACTTTCCAAGTGCCTGGCTCGATTACGGTTCCGAGCGACGGCGCAGCGCACAACGTGACAGTCGCGGAACTCGAGCTCGATGCTTCCATGTCGTGGGTGACCGTTCCCAAGGCTGATGCTAAAACACACTTGAAGGTACTTCTCTCCTCTATTGCCTATGTGCATGGAATCTGACCCGAGTTCTCCTAGGCGAAGATCAAGAATGCATCTGATTACACACTCCTCCGCGGGGTCGCGAGCGTATACGTTGATGGTAGCTTTATCTCCAGGTCAGACGTGCCCCTTGTCAGCCCTCTCGAAAGCTTTGAATGCCCTCTCGGGTATGTATAGTCTTCCGTTTCTCCTTTATTCCCTACTCCATTCAACTCATCTTCGCCTTTCTAGACTGGACCCTTCCATCCGCGTCACCTACCACCCACGCGCCAAGAAGGTCTCTCACTCCGGATTCTACTCCAAAACCTCCAATCACGTCTTCTCCCAGCGTATCACCATCTTCAACACCAAGGCCACACCCATATCCGACTTCAAGGTCATCGAGCAGTTGCCTGTCTCCGAGAACTCCCAGATCACCGTCAAGCTAATCAGCCCAGGGCTCCTGCTTCCAGACCAGACCTCCAACGCTATCAGTAAAGGAGCAGAGTTGCGCGTGCCATCGCCTGTTAAGGTTGGGGATGGTGTCTGGGCACAGTGGGAGGGCGCCGACGAGCCGGATGTGGACGTGGAGGGGCTAGGAAGGGACGGGAAGTTTAATTGGGTGTGTGCGGTGCCGGCGCAGGGGAAGATCAACTTGGTGCTGTCATGGGAGGTCACAGCGCCCCTGCGGACGCAGATCGTGGGTCTTTAGGTGCGAGGTCGTTGGTAGCCGCTCGTCGGTTTAGCATGTCGATTCTCGAATCCCCACGTTCTTCTGGAAGGCCAAATCGCCCGAGGGTAAGGATAAATATTTTGCCGTTTCGAAAGCCATTGTTGAGGAGCCCGTCCGCCGTCATGTCATGCAAACGATAGAGCGAGGAGCTCTTTGGAACGCTTCAGAAGGTAAAGGACCCCTCGCCGCTCATCTATGGCCATTCGTGAAACACATGATGACTCGTCAACGTCATCAGGCAATCTAAGCTGTCGAGTCGTGATTCCAAGATTGCTGAAGCGCAGAAGATGGAGCCCGCTGACAGGCCTTCGTCCAAAGCGGCTACAGACTGTCCAGCCGTTGGTGATCAGCGCTGCATGACTACCTGAGGTCGACCATGCATGACTGGTTATATCTCCCTCCAAGTGCATGTCCCTTATCTCGTTCGTGCGTCGGTGGTTGTCTTGAGTGGGCCAGAGATATATGTGAGTATAAAGGGGTCTGCCGTCAATAGGATGCTGATTCCGATCATCGAGGAAGACCTGAAGACCACTTGGTGACCAAGAGATGACTTCTCTCTGTAGAAAGCGCAACTCGGAATGGTCGGAGACGTGGACGGCGCTTATGTTTGAAATATGCTCCAGGTTCCCCGTGATCGTGGTACCATGTAGATGCGCACAATCACCATCTAAAGGGAGGGATTCCGGGGAGATGCGGTAGACATCGTATTTGTGAGAATAGTCGTCGGCATGGACGATGAAAGGTACCATCCCTATAACAGAAAACGAAATGATGGCATTGGAATCTAACTTCATGACCGGTTCAGCCTGACTTCATAGAACCCATCTTTGAATAGCACCTACTACACGTTGCCCAAGGCCTTCGCCTAGGTATATGTCATAGGATATGTTGTGGATAAAATTTATGACTGAGACGAAGGCCTGATCTGGTGTATTTTGGTCGGAGAGATACGTGTATGGGCTCTGAAAATAGTAGCCAATGACATCTCCGACAAGGAAGATAGCGCGGTGTCTGCCAAACATGGCTTCATTTTGGAGATCGCGCCGAAATATTTCCTGCATTCTCAAATCCTTGCCATCCCCGTAGGTCACCTCCACGACACAAAGCCCTTGTCTGCCAATGAAGGTGAGAATACGGCTAGCAACAAGTTCTAGATGGGATGATACCCGGACTACATACCGAGTAAAGGCAGCCATACGATGACGGCCATAATGATCATAATGTACGTGGGAGCTTATACCATCAAGTTGTATACTTACTTCATTTAATCTGGGACCCGCGCGGACATCGCAGCAGAATAGTCTCCCACTGGACGCGTAAAGAATGACAAGGGTCGTTCCGCTGATGGAGGAAATTATTTTGACCTCTTCTCCAGAAGACAAGTCCAGTGATAGCGAGACCGTTCTCGTTGGCTGGGCGGTCGGAAGTGACCCCGCAGGTTGTGTTGCATCCCAGAATTGATCGATCCTGTTCGTGCGATACGCGATGCGACAAAGCTCATCTCGTCCAAGTTGATCGAGGTATGTTGCTACCGGACACGCCAGAGGATGATGCTTTTGAGTGCGTTTCAAGATTCCTAGCCAGAGCGAGCGAAATTGGCCAAGATTCCAGAATGATGATGAGATCTACATGCTATCCGATTAGCCGATGCTCTCCCTCACGATGCCTATAAGAGCGCGACTTGCCAACGTATAATTGAGGGTATCAGATAAATTCAAATAAGACGCAATGTCGAGCAGGAGATCGGACGGTAGGAGTTGAAAATGCTGTTTCATGGTTAAGATGTGAGATGGAAAAGGTAAGCGGCACAACCACTGCGTCGTTGTGACTTGCGCTGAAGATTACACTTTGTTGATTTCTCAAGCCTTAGCTCATCAATCAGCCTTTCAACGGGCGTCTTGACCCTAACTTATCAGCACTGGCAAGTCGAAAGGAAATCCGAAATTATCTATTCCGTAAGTGGTATCAAAATTCCAGGGGTAAGTAAGTGCACGTCTATAATTTTTTTTCGGTATCGTCAGGTCCATCGTGATGTCGTGGAGGCTCATCGTCCCCAGCAACGGATGATGCTTGCCCTTT